GCCGTCCCGGGCGTCCGCCGCTCGTCAGCTGGCCGCCAAGCGCGCCGCCGTCGACACCGACGCTCTATTGATCGTCGCCGCCGACGCGCCGGCATCCAGCGCCGGTGCCTGCGCTGCCTTATGCATGACGGTCGGCTGTGCGCTCGTGACCGTGACGGCGGGTCGTGCCCGGCGCCAAGCGGCGGCGCGCGGAGAGGCGCGACCTATGAAGCTGGCGGCGGGCGGCGGCGCGCGCTTCACATGGGCAGCGGGCACGCCATTGCGGGGCATGTTGGGGACGGGGAGGGGAGGGGTGATGAGGTATGCGGGCCCGCATGGTGACTGGTATGACGCATGGCTGGCAGAGGCGAGGAAAGAGGTGGGCTCCTACTTACGGGGCAGATGGAGGGGAGGGGGCAGGATTATCCAGGGGGCTTCTGAACAAAAGGAGGCATTATCGCAGGCCTTCTCGGATTTGTCGTTTTCAAGCGAAAGAGACACCGAGGTTATCTGTTCTCTTTTCAAGCTGTTACACGTATCATTGCCATGCAAATAACTTTCGATAATTTAAAAATGCAGCATAGACGCCTTCTGACTATCCAGCAAAGGGCCTCTCTAGCCTTCTGATGTATAGAGAGGCTTACTTATTCGGAACAGGATGCTTCCGAGTCATGAAAGGCCCCCAAATCTAGGCAGTTCTAGCCAAATCTTTATCCCGAGACGGGGCATCTTGAACCAGAGCTGCGGCCATCTGATGCATGGAAGGGTATCCAGTTCCAGAAATGGGGCCTTCTAGTTCGAAACGGGGCCTTCCAAGCCAGCAAACGGACCGCCTTAACGTAGCATTGGACCTACTTATCTAGAGTATGGGCTATCATATTTATGAAGGTGGTCTCATGATTCAGATAATGGGCGTATCGATGTAGAAAAGGGTCTTCTGAGCTTGATTTATTTCTCTACGGCTCAGCTGTGGGGACTTCCTTGATGTCAAGTGTGGTAGTTTATGAGCAAGTGCAATGCCTTTAGTTTGGAAAAAGAGACCTAAAAGATAGGGAAAACACATACTCTTGCCTCCTTGCCTGCCGAAAAGGGACGAGCAACTGTCCCTCCTGCCCCAGCGCTCTGTTGTGCCACTCCAGATTCTTGCTCTGATTCGCCCTTTTTATAACGCGGGATGACAGGAGAACAATGCGAACCCCCTGTTGTTTGGTAAGATAGAGCCTCGCGGAAAAAAACAGTGGGTTGTTTTCAACCAGATCTCGCGATTGGGGATAAGTTATTAAAATGGGAATAAAGGAAGGAGAGAGTGGGGTGAGTTATATCATGTCCGAGAAGTATCGGCGTGATTTATCCTAAATCTATGCGACAAATGGTAGTCATGAGTCGTTCAGCTGACGCACAGCAATTCGCTGTGTTTTTCAGTGCACTTCCGGCCGCAGGCATGCATGCGTCTTGAGATAAACGAGACAGATCTGCTTTTTTGAGTGGTGGAGAAATGCATGTGTCATACGCGCTGCAAAGCATTTGGCACCTGCTAGCGAAGGATTTCAGGGTGGCGCGGACGTTTTCCCAGATGCGAGTGCTACCCATTGCATCAGCTGTGGACGTAGCATATTGATGCCATATACCGGCGATGTATATATATATATATATATATATATATATATATATATATATATATATATTATATATACCGATATCGTTACCAATATACAATTCACCGGTATCATCGATGTGATATACGGCGACTTGTTTATGACTGGTCTACTTTAACGATTGATTGACGTCATTCCCATGATTCATTAGCATCTGGACAGCAAGCCGATATTTACATTGTCAATGCAGATTCACAATTCCACCTGAGCAACGGAAATTGAGCTGGCAGTAGTCGTAAAACATCAAACTGATTAAGAGGGCAAAACTGTCTTGTCGCAATCACGACGAATTATAAGATAACACAGACGAGCGTGATTGGTCGACATGTCTTAAGGGGAATGTTCCACATTTGGAGATATTGAAGCAAGCACCAGATATGATGAAAACCCTTACCTATAACCACTGGTATGCTTCTAAGTAGAAAACACTGTTCTAGATAAGACAATTGCTCTGTTAAGTAAACGTACCCCTCAATACGTAATTGTTTGATGACAGCATCGTACATTGCACAATACTGATTGAGGGCCAATCGAAGGCTGTTATATCTGGAAGTCGTGCTCACGAATTCCAGATATGAACGGTTTGACAGCGATATTCTTATTGGCCTTGATCGTCGCACGGATAATAGAATGGTAGAACTTGAATGGCGTTATCATGGCGTCATGGATAACTGGATGACCTTGAAATAGTCTACCAAATAGTCGGCACATCTTCGCGGGTGTGACGCCCAGAAACTAGAGGCGTTTACGTCTTGAGAAGGGTAAGGTTGTGAACCGGACCAAATGGTCTTCAAAATGGCTTTTTCAGTCCAAACCCCATACAAATGTGGAGCATTTCCTTTAAGGCACTCAGTTTGCTTGCGGTGTAACTTGTTCTATGAAAAAAGCTTAAGCACAACTTCCCCACTATGTGGTACAATTAACCCGGGGTGGGGCAGGTTGTCCCGCTGAAAGGGGTTCATTCAGAAACCACTTAACAAAAAACGAAGGCGTGCTATCCAAAACTATACCGCCACATATGAAGCTGAAATATTTAGCTGTCCGCACATGTAATAATCTTTGACCTATCCAGAGTAGCTATAGCAGGAGTCTCCGCTCAGACTAAAAACTGGCATACCTTTTCCTACTCTTCCGCATTTTGTTTGCGCTAGGTAAATAATTCACACTATTATGCCAGGTCAACCTGAACCTGAGCCTGAAATCACACTATTCCAGGTTTACATGACAATATTTACCCAACCATGCCAAATAGCAGCATGAAACTTACACATTCGTTTTCGCCCCGCTGAATTTTATTCGCATTATTATGCAGTTTTCTGCTTTTTGAAAGCAATTTATGATAAAGTGCCTCGTTAACACGCACCCAAATGGCCGGCTGAACACTGCCCGCTCCGGTGGGGGGGAATTTGGTACCATTTCCTGAGATTTATTTTAAAAAACTAACGGAACTAGACACACCAAATGCACAGAGTTGACTAGCATGTATGTTAACTCACTTGTGTCAACATTTGCGGATTTGAGGCCGTGACCTTTGGCTCATAAAAGGTCAAACAGGCTCAAACTACAGATTGGTGTCCAAAGAGCCCTATGCAAACTCCTCATGTAGCCGTCTTGAACCTATATATCTTTTCTAAGCAAAATTTGAGGCGCTTATTTTAGGTCAGTGACCTTGTTTGGCCATTAAAAGGTGATGGCAACCAAAAACCTATCAGATTGTTTTTATTTTTGAATTTGAATAAGCGGCAGGGATTACGATAGACGGTATATTCCTATACAGTTTGATCTGGGTCATTTTAGGTGAGTGAACTTTAATGAGCTTTGATAAGCCCATGCCCATGTCTGTTGCTGTCCCTGTTATCAAAAAGAAACTGAGATGAGCATCAACAACTGCCCCATGGAGCAGGCTCTCGAGTAAAAAGTCAGGCGATATTGACATTGGCTTGACCGTCACACTTGAATGAGGTTCAATGGAATTTGTTGTAGGTCATCTTAAATTAAACTGTTTAATTGTCTTAAAAACTTCCCCAGAGATGCATGACTTATTTTGACGTGCCATGCAATCTTGCAAGGTACATCTCATTTTCAATACACCAAAAAATCCACTATTTTTTTGCCTACAGCTCCGAAAAGCTTGATGCGCTACGCCACAAGGCATACGAATGATAATGCCGATGTCAAAGTTAGCTGGTTCACATGCAGCAAATGATCACAATCCTGGTATCATTTAGTGCCTCTGCAGTGAGTCAAGTCGCTCTGGCTCTTGATGTGTCTGAGCGTTACATAGCACTTCTGGGATCGACATAGGAAGAATAATTTAGATGAATTAATGAGACAACCGACCGATGTGGGGCAATGCAGCTTCCGCCCAATCCACACAGCATGGCATCTCTTTTGTTTGTAGAATTGAGTATCATTGAGTGTATTGTTAAGATAAGCCATACAGATTTCAGATGTTGAACGAAACAAGAGGATTTAACGCAAAATATATTGGCGCGACCAAGAAACGTGGTTACTCATCGAACCCGACAAGAAATATCACCGCACTCCATGTGCCGTGCCTTTGACCGTCAACGGGCCGCACTTGAGGGCCGTTGACAAGTGACGCAAACTTATCCGCACTCTATGTGACGCATGACGTATGACGTAATGACGTAAGCAGACCGTCAGCGGGCCCCCACTGTTTACATTTGCACGTTTCATTTGCGCTAAATGGGAACTATGTGGCAAGATTCACTACTGCAATCCCCACGTGCTATTTGTTTTGGTCGCGAGCGTAGCTTTGTTCTCCTCAAAATCTGGACTGCGCCTGCTTTTGTGCGGACGTGAGAAGATGCCATTTTTAAGCCAATGGCTTTCCAATGAAGGTGACCTACATGGCAGTGTAAATATGCCATCGATTATCATGTCCTCAGTAAACTCTTTTGTTTGCGTAGCCACACAACTAAGAGAGTTACGGGCACCAAATGCTATTTCTGAATCACATGCCTGAAAAGTAGGCCCATGATTGGGAAAAACCGGGTATTCACCAATGACTGCTCCCGCTTGTTCCATGTCAGGCTGTCAAGTATGCACCAAGTCTTAAATCCTCGACTGTGAAAAACTTTCTGCAGTTCAAAAGTGTTCCTCGCACTGAAGCATGACAAGTATTAATCAATAGCATTGACCAGACCGCAACGCTGTAGTACGCTATTGTCACCCACAGCTTTAGGTGGTGCTAACTGCACCCTGCATGCGAGGCTAAAAATGCATATTTCACATACTTTTCCCTTCACTGTATCTGATCAGCAGATACACGGTTGATGTCGCTCGGAATGCATGTTGGGCCATCTATCGGCAGACTGGAAAACTAGTGGTTCTTTTTTTGTC